AAAGCGAAATGATTGGCCATTAACTGAAAATTTGCATACTTAGCAGTTTTAGTGACAATCATTTGCACCTTTAAAGAACCTGCTAAGAACACAGCCTGGATGCCTTGCGAGCCAATGAATGACTTAACGGCTCGAAGCAGCACCGATCCTATTGTTTTAGACTGTCGAACTAATAAATTAAATGTAGATAATTCAAGTGAAACAATTCACACACACACACACATCCACACACAGCCACAAATAAACTCATATTTAAGTGAACAGAATACACTCTCAGCTAAATACGACGATGCATTTCAATCTGTCAGCCTGAAATTAACGAACTTAAATTCGAACTCAAACTCAAATTCAAATTCAAATTCAACTCTGCCATTTGCCTTTGTTGCAAACTTTGTTGCAGTTGATTAACTTCGGGCGCTAAACAATTAGAGCAGCGCTCAAACGAGCTTATGAAGCATTTGCAAATGACAGGCAACAATTCAATACAATTTAACGATTTCAACGATGACATACACATACTCGTATCCACTACATTGTATGTACATACTATTATGTATTTTAGCCACAGGTGTCGCAGCCACTGAGAGGCAGAGCAATGATTATAACAATGATAGTAGCATTGACACTAAGCTTCAAATTAGATGACTTGCCAAACGGTTTCAGCAGTAATACGAATACTTGTAGAATAGGAAAATATGACACTAGGCGATGCACATTGCTTCAAACCTTAAATATTGGTCCAGGAATTAATTGGGCAAGCAGGAGCAACGTGCGGAGCTCAAAATCCATGTCTGATAAAGGGCTGACATGAATGGAAGATTTCATTTAAATAATGCATTCGGCCTAAGAATTATTTATTATTGGCGTTGAATATTATTTCCAAAATTACTGATCCTATTTAAAAGGCTAGCTCTGCTTGGTATTAATTTTTTATTGTTCTTTTCCTCTCTGCTTTAAGCGTGTGGTGCCTACAAGAATGAGGCATTAAAAAAGAAGGCCATAGAGCTTGAACAGCTTTTCAACAATAGGCCAAAAAACTGAATAATATTGAAAGTAAATGGTCTTTTAAGTAAAAAATAACATTTTAAAGATCCACATAAAATGCACTTGGCTCCCATTAACTCCGGCAACTAATCATTTTCATTGAAAAATGTGAAAAATATGCCTGGAATATTTCGTATTTATCGTTGTGTTACCCATAATTTGTTAAATGGGAGAGGCAGGCTTTCTTTGCAGGCTTCATACAAGCTATTAGCACCGTATCCATCAAGGGGCCCCTTTCATTAGTTTTCTTGCCACATCCGATCTCATCTGTTCACATCCGGCATCTATGTATTTACTGCCCCGCTGCAGTCGCATTTATCTGCATATTCATTACATATCTGTCACTATTAGTTGACTCCACAACACTTGCCACGTACGAGCATAGCCACACACACACACACGCAACCCCTGCAATATTCACAACTTTTATTCGCTTCGATTCGGTTTCAGTTTTGGGGGTTTCCTTTTTTTCGAAGGGTCTTCGCATGGTGTGGCATTGACTTGAATTATTTGTCGTCGTCGGTTTCTCGTCTGTTGCCATATCATGCCCGTAAACCAATAACGTTGGCTGCCACCTCCACCTCCACCCCCACCCCTTCCCTACCCTTCTCTTCGTCGCGCCCACACCATCGGCTGCGGTGCCCATCATTTTTGTCGTCGCTGACAAATGCTAACAACTATTCTTGCTCCCCATCCGTACACATTTTATTTGCTGCTGCACACTTTCCACTGCTTTCCACATACCACTTTACTTTTTCCACTTGCCACGACATGTTAACGTTGCCTGCCACTAACTAACACCAGAGTGAGGCAGAGCAGTGGCAGTGGCAGTGGCAGTAGCAAGTGGCAAGTTAGAGAAGCGGCAGCAACATGCAAACAACCGCAAATGTGTTTGTGCGTGATTTCAAGCACAAGTAGCATACCCGTGCCCGTGCCCCTGCCTGTGCCCGAGCCCGTGCCCGCACCCATGGGCACCCAGCTCCACTGTCCCGATCCTTAAACCCATCGCAGTCCCACTCCAACGACTGCAAAGTGTTGAAAGTGGAATTATGTGAGTTTGTGTTGACATTATAATAATGGTTTGGTTTATGTTTATAGTCTGTTTCATGCAACTGTACACATGTTCCAAGCGACGCACACACACACACTGATACAGATACAGATACAGACAGATAGAACCAGCTCTGGGTTAGCATTTGGGATGAGCGAGAAACGTGAGCGCGAAACGAACAAGCTGTTTGTACATTTAAAAACTAATCATATTTCAATGTATTGAATATATTTCAGGACCGAAGTAGTAGTTGGATCCTTCAGAAATGTGTTTCGCATTTCAGGTACATCTCTAAAGCTGAAAATGTTTAGGTATAGTTCGAAGTTTAGGGCCTTGCCAAAATCTCAGGCATTGGCTAGCAAATAAATAAAAGAGGGTTACAATTATTCTAGGCTTTAATCAACAATTTCCCAAAATCGACTAAGCACATTCCATCGATCTTGTTATTAGAAATAATGGAGTAACATGCAGCATGCGATTATCAGAGATTCGTGCCAGCGAATGAATACATCACGCCACCAGCTCCAGCAAACACAAAACTAGCTCTGGTTTAGTTGCGTCTGTTTCCATATCTGCTGTCTGTCCGTCTGTTTGTCCGTCTATCTGCCTGTCTGTCTGCCTGTCTGCCTGTCTGTGCTTTGATTACTATTCAAATATTGTGACAGTGTGAAAAATAAACAAATTTGCATTATTTATTTTCACATTTGTTCACTGTTGCTGACAGTTTGCTGCTGTTCGTTGTTCGCTGCTCACCGCTCCTGCTCCTGCTGCTGCTGCTGCTGCTGCTGCTGCTTTGGCCAAACTAACTGCCACTGTAGGTATCACTACTGGAACAATTAATAAAAGAAATTACGCAAACAGAGCCACTGGTGGCCATCACTTTATCACAGCGATTTCATAAAATTTCATATCATGAAGAGCCTAATAAATGTTTGTCGCACACGCACAGACAAAAACTAAACCCTAAGCGAAACCTGTGGCCCGCCATTAGCCTAAAGGCATGAGGGAAACGCAGCAAAGTTTCTTCCTTTTTATTCCTCTCTCTCGTTCTTGTTCTTGCTCCCTCCTTCTTTCCCTACCCGTTTTGTTTTTTTGGGCCTCATAATTTCAACCGCAACAAGCCGAAGACGAGCAACATTCAGGCAAAAAGGACCAGGCACATGTTGTGATTTATGGGACGAGTGGCTGAAGGCGTGAGGCGTGAGGCGTGGGGCGAGGGGCGAGAGGTGAATGACGGGCGGGATAGGAGACGCTGCTCCTCTGCCACGCAATGCTGAGTGTCATCAGACGTGGCTGCCGGCGAATGGTGAACGGTGAATGGGAAATGGGAAATGGCGAATGGAGAATCGAGAATGGCGGATGCGCAGGCCTAGCAGGCTGTGAAAAGCCATAAAGTGCAAATGGTGCCCAGGGGAATCATCAAACAGCAAAAAGCTGCCATAAAACGACACAAACATGTGCGCAACACACACACACACACACACACACGGACTCACACGCGTCCACACACAAGCCTACGAATATAGAGAGCGATGCTGGCATTTTACCTCACAAAAAAGGCACCCCGGAAATAGATACGCCATCAAGTGGTCAACATTTGGCTGCGGGTATATCTGAATTAATGGGTGTGAGTGAATGAGTGTGTGTGTGTGCGTGTGTGTGTGCTGCCAGATTGGATATCAGTGTAAACATCAAAGTAGTTGGCAAATCAGTCACACGTAGCAAACTAAAAGCGAGGCAGCATCAGCGTCAACGTCAACGTCACCGTCGTCGTCGTCGTCGATGCTGACGGAGAAGTTGACGTGAAAGTTCACGATATGCCCGGCATACAAATTGGCAACACCAATAACCTCATACAAACGCACACTTACACACACACGCACATACATACGTAGTCAGAGCATTATCCACACTCAACGAAAAATAAAATGATAAAGTTGCGAAGAAGACAACAAGATTTATGTTTTAGGTCTTTCGCACTGCCAGCCTGCCACAGCTTGCAACTATTTCTCCGATCGGAGGAAGCTTCTTAGTCGCACACATATTTCTAAAAGAGTTAGAACATAAATTGAGCCAATAATTGAGCTAACTCCTTTCAAGATCCTTTGGCTGTATTTGATGGCATACACCACACTGCATACTCTCTTCTGACAACACTCTAAGGACAAACGTTGAGAACTAAATCGAGCTCTTTAAAAAGTCAGCCAGTAAGCAATAGCGTCTATAGATGACGCTGCACAACGGAAAATACTATTTAATTTAATTTATTTATTTGCCAGCACCATTGACTCCCTTTTCCTATAAATTGAATCTTCCCCTAATAATGGACTTACAAATCTAACTAGAGGCTTGTGTTATATCTGAAAACAACAAAAGTATATAATACCATTATTTGTATAAGCTAGCATACCCTTCTACAGGGTAAAGGGTATACAAATCGCACTACGATGTCATCGAACGGAAGCGATATAATAAATACAACCCTGAAAGTATGCAGAGAAAATTGAAGGAGAACAGTAATAACTAGTCAGAGGAAAGCTCGTAGCTGTGTGTTGCTTTTCATGGAGTGCTTTTAGTTGCGAGTATTCCAATTTCTCCATTTATACATATCTACAAGAAAATGCGGGCAATTGGAGTATCTTTATACACAATTCGTTCCATATTTTTAATCAAAAATAACCAAATGAAGCTTTATTGCTGCATACAAGTATTGTATGTTATTTGTTTTTCTAGTTCTAGCCTCTGAACAGTAGATTTCACATGAATGCTGTTTTATGAAGAGAAGAAGTGCTTTTTTTCTCAAGTGTATCGTATCTCGTAGACCGCCTCCGGTTGAGATCAAAATGCCAGCTTTTAATCTGCAGTGAAGCTGAGGCGAAAGACGAAACATGACAACGACACTCACCGACAATGTTCAGATAGACGGAGTGGCCGATTGGCGGCGTCGTGGATATTTGACACTCATAGATTCCGGAATCCTTGCGCTGGGCATACCGTATACGCAACGTCCAGTCCTCGGCGTGTGGCGAGTGCATTGCCTCGAAGCGTTGGTCGGAGGTGTATGTGTAACGGCCCACGGTCAGCAGATGAATATCGCGATGGCGCACCCATGAGACCTGGAAGCAAAGGACAGAGCAGAGTAATCATGCATTAGAAAGCTGCTAGTGGCAGTGGCAGACTTAAAATACAAGAAGTTACTCCACGGAATAGGCTGGTACAGTATTAAGTGCCTCAAGAGAGCATGCTTGCATCAGGAAACTTATCAATTCCATCGAGTTACCTTATATGCCATGACTGCAGGTGAATAAACATCTTCTTATAAACTAGATAGTGTTGAAGCTGCAGCTAAAAGAATAGCGCAGTTATAGCCACATCAGCAAATTTATTTGTATATGCCAGTACCACTCTGTATAATCGTGGTTTAACATAACAAAATCGATATTGTTTTTTTTTTTGTGTTATGGTTCCGCTCCTTAGTTCGTTCTTTTCTCTGATCCCTTCGATTCTTTATAAATATTAAAAATGATTAGACAATATGTATATCATCAGACTATGCTATAGCATATAGATCAAATAGGAACTATTGGTGCAAATTGTATACATATTTTCTACGAATTGTTCAGGATACGCTGAAGTCTAAAACAATACATTAAGTTGTCATAGGATTCATCATATATAACAGACTTTTTTGTTTACTTCTTGCCTACAAATTAAAATCATTTAATGGCAATTGTTTTATTGCATCTACTTTATAGGGAGGAGTGAGGGAATGGGGCATATTTCTTAATCCAAAATGAAACACTTCCTGCTAATAAATACTTTGCTATAGTAAATAATATAATAAATGTGGGTTTTACACAAATGTAGTTTATTTAATTTATTTACTAAGTGCTTTAATTATTTAATGATAATATTAGTATTTAAGTATACGTTTACAAAAGGTTTACTTTAGTTTACTGAATGAAAGATGCACACAAACACGATCAACGTATCACGACCTTCTCCCTTGAACGACGTAGCACAAGTGCCTTTCGCTTGTGTAGACTATCCTATCGAATAGTAATATCGATAACCCTTCCCTTATTACCCTGTACACTACAACTGTCATCTCCTGCCTATCCTAAATAAATAATAAACGCGTTAACGAATCCCTACTGTAAGTGCAAACAGCGCTTCATGTGCGAATCAGATAAGGGTAACTCGTAGTCAAGGCAATTTAGACGTGTGTGGGTGTGTGCGTGTGTGTGTGTTTGTGTGTGTGTGTGTGCAGGTGCCTTGATGGGGTCGACGGCTCGACAGCAGCGCGGCGTTGCATGGGGCTAGGATTTTTAATTGCGCGTTTAGCTGTCGATTGGGGCCAAGACTTGCTCTGTGCTTCAGAGCCTCGGGGCTGTCGGTAGCTTATCGATTTGCATACTGCCTAATTATGGGGCAGAAGCAACAACACCGCACACACATACAAACACAAGCCGTGCAGAGAGAAACACGCGCGCACACAATAAACAATTTAAATGCCAAATTGAAATCCAACGCGCCTGCCTGCCATTCCAGGCAAACGTTGCCCGCCATGCCCAACAGCAACAATAATTGTAACAACAATGGGCTTAGCAACAAAAACAGCTAGCGGCTGGTTTTGAAATGTGGTTTGCTTTTTGCCAATTGCCAGTGGGCACCAAAAACAGGCGTGGGATAAAGTTCTTCTTTGAAAATAAATCGAAGGAATTGTTTGTTGCCTGAAGGGGGGATTTCTAAAAGGATTGAAATAAAACATGCGGCGATTTCTAATTTTATGTAACTACTTCTACTCCTAAAGGACGCCACGTGGTTGGTGTCTAGTAATATTTGAGTAGTTGATATACTTTCTAGCTGAATCTTTACAATTGGTGTGGGAGTTTATTAGGCACAGCCAATGTTTCTAAGTAGCCATCTATTTTCTGAATTTTTAACATTTATTTTTGTTTTTCTGCTCTTCAGAATTTGATTGCAGAGCTTGACTAATTTGCCGAAATTTATTTATTACTTTCTTTATTCATCAACAATTAATTATGCAGAATGTATGGTTTGAGCAATATATGGTTTGTTCCATTCATAAGAAATGATCGCACACTATTTATATATAACATAACATTATTAATTAGAATAAAATAAAAATAAAAAAAAAGATATACATATATCTATATGTATGGCACATATTATTACAAATCTGTTAGCTATCCCGGTATCTGAAGAGTAACAGCTGATAGATCTATATAGCTTGGATCCATGTTGTCTTCTGCTCCATGCACACGGCTCTTCCTAATTCGAACCTGACACACACCAGACCATGCCGAACACTCTAAAGGTGTCCGGCTTACCTCCTACCTCTGCCCATGTCCCTCTACCACACACTCTAATATTAACGATTCCATATTGGCATTGTTTTGGGCCGTCGTTTGTAGCACCCGCTACCCACATATTCGCACGTGAATACATGAATACGTAGAATACGTTGGTGGAAGGATATGTTCGCAGGCACCCGCGCTCGCTTTCCGTCCACGGCTAGTGAAAAATTGTATTAGCCATGGCCATAATTAGGCGAGGGAATGTTGGTGCTCTACTTTTGGGCCCGACGGACAACTGGAAAACTTGTGCAATTGTTGTTGTGCGCAATTGTCATCAGCGATTTAACGATTGATTCATGAATTGGGCGCGGGGGCGCTGTGGATGGAAATGTGAATGTTGACGTTGACGTTGACGCTGATGACTTTGGCACGAGCTTTGTGGCTTGTGTTCAAAACAATCGCAATCGCAAATCGCCAATCGTAAATCGTAATTCGTCAATCACCAAACAACAAACAGCAGACAGCAAACAACTAACAACAAAAGACAAAAGCGTATGATCGTCAATCGTTCAATCGTCTGCTATGAAGAGCCCGTTGTATATATTTAGGGGACATTCTGTTCATTGACTGTGTGCCCGCATTGCATGTATGTGTAATTGCGTGTGGGTATGTACACTGATAAAAAAAACTAGTGAGCTTACTCAATTTTGTTTCAAACACGACATTTTGCAAGTCCAATCAAGATGGAACGCGTCTAAAAAATGTAAACGAAGAAAGTACAAATTCTGAGCGAGTCATGAAATGTTTCTCTATCTAGACCAATGTCTCTCTCATTCTTTTATTTTCTCAGGACTTTCACTCACTAGTGTTTTGCGAGCGTTTGCAAGTGGAATAAATAAAAATAGTGAAACAATATAAAAATTGTTATTCAGATTTCAATCAGATGCCTATAGCAAGATTTTACACTGAGTATAGAAATCGTCGAGCTACCTTTGTCCGCATTGGGCTTCAGTGAAAAATAGCTGAGATTTTTCTAAGTGTATGCACGTTGCATGCATATGGAATGAAATTGAAATTCCACTTTGATGATTGCGCAATTCTACAACTCGCATTCGAACCTCTACATTGTTGTAGTACGAGTATTTCATTTTGCATGCTGGCGAATTATACTAGAGCTGGCATACAATATTTTCCATATGGCAGCATCATCTTATGCGACCTTTTTCCACATGGCCATAACATGCAATCTAACGGAAACGCACGCTATTGTGTGCAGCAGGGGGTGCAAAGGGGTGGCAAGGGGGTGGTGCATTGCTAGGCGACGAGGCAAGCGAATTAGCCTTTTGATTTCCACACACGTGTGCGACTGACTGCCCCTTGCCTGCCATAATTATTTTGTATTTTTAATTGAACTTTTGTATGGCTGTTATTGCACACTAACACGCACACCCACACCCATGTCCATCACACACACACACACACACACATACTCACTCAACACTCAACTATTTAGGTATTTATTTGTTTCATTCACATGAACTTTCCAATTGCATTGTGATTTTTTGGTTCTTCAGCATTCCATTGATTTTTAACATTTTCTTTTTTCGATTTTTATAATTGCTATACCTAAAACTATTATTGTTATTTTAATTTTTATAAAAATTGGTATTATACTATTGTGTTTTCCCTTCAAAAATGGGGCTGTGTTTTCCACAATTTACAAGTAATACGCATTTAGACCGCATATCGCGACTATTTTTGGGCAAGCTTCTGCTCGGGTTGCTGGACTTAGGAGGCTTTATACTAGTTAATACGATTAAAAATATATAGCCATTTTATTTATCTTCTCAATAAATAGTATTTGTTTGCCTTTGGGAAAAGTCTGCACAGCTTTACCTAAAATTCCATTTTCTTTTAAAATCTTCAATGCTTGACTCAACTAGCTCAGCTCAGATTGTTAAGATATACTTGTAAAATAATATATATAGTAATTGTACATTCAATGTGGCTGTTGTGGCTGCGCTTCTCTTCAGTTGCCTCTCTTCTTACTCTTCGGCTAGGAGAGCAGACCTTATCTAACCAGCGCCTTATCTATGCAGTCGCATCGTTGCTTATTTATGGCTACTCGTATACTCTCACTATATACCTTGGACAACGTTCATGACGTCTGGGGCTGGAACTTGCGCGTAGCAACAATTAGATAATTACGTCAACATTATTAGCAAATTAAATTTGATGTTTTGCTGTTTGTTCTGCTGAAGGGACGATACTGGGCTGGCTGCTGACTGCTTGCTGTTTGCTGCACTAAGCGCTTGCTGCTTCGTAATGCCACTTTTTTGCGCAATTGAAATTGCGCAATTTCGCTATTGTTGGCTTAATGCCAAATCACTTGGCAGTTGTGGATACAAAGCGGAGAGCAGAATGGATGGAGCTTGATGGGCCGAAAGTACAAACAACTAACAAAAGGGGCGGGAAGGCAGAAGAAGTCAGCTGAGACGGCTTTTTTGTTTTTAAAATGGCCAAGATGGCGTAGAATATAAATTTTGATCTCTCTATAAGTTGGATGACAAATAAGTGTTTTGTGCAGACACCTACATTTCTGGGGATTGTGAAAACAGTTTATTTTTGCAAACCGTTAGCCTTTATTCCTGCCGATCGCAATTCAAATTGACTTCCATTTTTATTGCAAATTGTTCCCAAATGATTTGAAACAATCTAGAAATGGGAATAGAATTTAATGGTGCTTCTATTTTCCACAAGGTGGAAATCGATCTAATATTCAATTTTTGAAGCAGCCTAAATAGATAATAATTTATTTTATATAATTTATGTATAGTTAATACCTTTTTATTCATCTCAGAGATGTGACTATTTTTTCAATTCTCAGTAAATTATTAACTACAGTAAGTGAAGATTTTATGTGATACAAATTTCGGATAGCAGATATTTCGTTCGCGATTCTTGTTAATACTAAGGCTAATGGGCTCGAGCTTGAAAATTCGTTGTTGTCAGTAGTTTGAAGATTTTAAACACACGAAGAATGCCTTGAATTGTGCCCCTTGGCCTTCAACAAGGCAGCCAAGCAGTTGGAACTTTTGCGACAACCTTAAAATCTGCTGGAAGAGCACAAATGCCAATCGTTATGAAAATGGCACAAAATGCTGAATGCGGCCAACAAAAGCTTGAGCGCAAAGTTGTTATGCATAAATTTCATTGCATTTGGATTTGATTTTGCTTTCCTTTTGTTCTATATAGTAGTATTTTATGCCAAAAGATTTGCGCGCCAGCCTCCAACCGACTTGCTGTAAACCCTACCCCCGCGCCGAACTGCGTCTTCATTCTTGTCTGGGTCCTTTTCGTCGTTATCTTTTCATTTATTTTATGGCGCTTAAAAGCTGATTTCCTCAGTCAGCGTCGCTGCCACTTCCACTGCCACTGCCAGTGCCGCTGGCGATGCAACAAATGAGGCATAAATCAAAATGGCGGAAGTGCGGCGCATAATTATGGCCCATAGACGTTTCATTTCTTTTTGCGGATTCGGCTACAATTCGCAATTGCGCATTTATTTCGATAGATAGACTTGGCGGTCTGTCGATCGATCGATATGAGCGAATGCCGTCAAAAGTGCCAACAACAGAGACAGAGCGAAAGAGAGAGGGATGAAGAGAGGGAGAGAGTGCGCGGCGAATCATTATTATTATAAAATCCCATAAAAACTGCAGTTATTCCAAAAATGCCGGCGGCCCACTTGGCAGGCCGCCTTTCCGCCTGAAAATGCAGCAGCAGCAAGAACAACAATAACAAGAAATTATGAGCACTTTCTAATTTAATATGGTTATTATTACATTTTACTTGCATCCCAGGACAGACTTTAAAATTGAGTTTCGCGAGCGAGCCCTGCACAGATGAAAGACCCGAGTAGATACATCATCAGCAGAATACACGTATGTGAGCTTAGCTTGTTTGGGAGCAGTGCAAACTCTGGAGCTCGTTAGGAAAGAGGAGCTTCGCTTTGACTTTTTCATGGCACATCACTTGAAAGTGATTTCTCGCTCTTGCTGGCGGCTGGCGAAACAAGAAGTCATTTTTCAAAGATATTGTTATCATTTCAAGCCGGAAAAGCGCTTCAAATACATAACATTTATTGATTCAACAGATTCCAAGAAAGCTGTCAAATCTCATAAATGCTTTCAATATTCGCAGAATTCATGTTTTATGAAAAATACTTATTAATTTTAAATTTGCATCCCCGCTGCGATTCTTATGCTTTAAAATATACAATACCATTGTTCACTTTATTCATACAAGTACAAGTATATGGTAGGCGAGATACTGTGATAAGTTTCTGCTTATATTATTGGTATTGGCAAATCGAATGTCGTAGCAGACATGCTTGCGTTATTACTTGTATTATTCACATTTCCTCTTATCATTTCAAACGCATTCAAAGAGGCGCCTGTTGGTATGCAATGAATTCTTTCCAAGGCTCTCAGCAGGAAGGCAGGCAGGCAGACAGGCGCCCTTCAGGTAATGAAGTCAAGCCCAGTATAGCAAATGCCTCGATTTAACTTCGAGGTTCCCGTTGAGTCAAGTCGGCAACGACAAATGCAAAATGAAAACTTCACCACGCTAATGCGCTTCTTAATTTTTTCGTTCGGTTCCCGCTATTGTTGTCGCTGTGTGCTGGCGATATAAACCAACTAAAAAGTTTCACGCAGCGACAGCGACGGCGACAACCAAGTTTACCCAAAGCGCACAAGAAACAAAGCAGCACCAGCAGCGGTATCTTGTCAGCATGGCTTTGGGAATGCCTTGTGAAGCACATGCCATGCCATGCCATCACATCCCACCCCATGCCATCCCATTTCACTCCATCGCTTCCCAGGCACTGTACAATAATGCAGCCAATCACTGAAGCAAGAGCTGAGCAACTGAAGCTACAGCTGTAACCGAAACTGATGCTGAAGCTGATGCTGAAGCTGATGTTGGAGCATCAAGGATGGAGGATGAATAAGTTGGATGCTCGGCTGTGATATGTGTGGAGCGGCCACAAGACCAAAAATCCCTTTGCGGGCAGACGTGCTGGTTATATTGTGTAAGTACAGTCGAGCTTCCTTCTACTAGGCTTATGTTATGGCAGTTTCTCAGACGGTCGCTCAGACCATATTTTTCAAATCTCTTTTCCATATAATGAAATTAACTTTAAAAAAGTCTAAGTCTAAAAGTCCAACAAGGACAGGCCCGACAAGAAAAGTGCAGAGAATCTTTGTGGTATTGAGATTATTAACATTCTTAGACCACCATAAAAGTAACAAATGGGGAACTGGTCGGATAACAAATCCTCAGCTTCTATTTAGAACAGTTTAGATGCAAGGGGCTGACGAATATAGTATGACAAGGAATGCCTTTGTATGGCAGAATAGGTCAGAATTGGTCAAGAAACGTTTTTTCTCTCTTTCTACGAAATCTAGAAATATTTTTGGGTGCTCACAACAGTAATTCATTTGAAATCCCACTCGAATGGACGAAATACCCCCGAAAGCAACGATCTGCGCTACTCTTCTGATAAGTTCCGACTGTGTCCGATTTCGTGTCGACGCTTCTCCCATTTCTTCCCTTTCATTTGGCTTGGCACTACTGTAGCAGGCCACTGTACCTCTCTTTCGCGGTGCCAAGTTTTTGTTGTAATGCGATTTTTATATACACTTTCATTGCTTTATTGTCAGTTGCTTTTTTTCGTGTTACTTTTTCGAGTGCTTTGCTTAATTTTGCAGCAACTTTTTGCTGTCACTTGCTACTACAAAATCCATGTCACTTCACTGCCCCCTCAGTGGGCTTCCTCTCTCTTTCCACTTGCTTGCTTGTTTATTTATTTTCGCTTTGTTTTAAGCACATCGCGCTGTGTTGTTGTGTTGTGTTGAGTTCTGTTATTTTGTGTCGTGTCGCGTCATGTCGCATAGCCTAGCATCGTTTTACCAGCTGCAAAAAGCCACTTCCGGAAGTTAGAGCAACACCTACGCGAGGTCCTTGAGCGCCCTATCTTTACGCAGCTGGCTTTTGTCGACCACAGCACATTGGGTTGAATGTCAAAAACATACATTTTACTTGTAAAACAATTCGACAACTCTTTGATATACAAGTACTACTATACTTCTGTTGAAAAGTCTGCTTAATGAATAGATACATATGTATATTTGAAAACATTTGCCCGATCTGGGCTTTGGCATTTCCACTTGAGATGGATATGGTCACACTAGACAATTGCTTATAGTGGCGTAAAATTGAGTGCAGGCCATTATTTCGGCAATTTGTCCCAATGTGCAATGTTGTGTATTGTTAGCCAATTTCTCTTCGTTCCCTGTCTTTTTCTCCTGTTCTCTATTATTATTATGTTTTTTTTTGTTGTTGCTGTTGTTGTTGCTCTCTATTCTTCATTTACTCTGGTTGCTGCTTCGACCCTAGCCCCGCTCCCGCCCCGCCCTTGCCGTTGCGGCTGTCTTTTGTCACCGCAGCGAACTACAAAAGCAAGTCAAAGCCGTCGCCACACACATTTAAACCCCAGTGGTGTTGGCCGAGTGGAAGGATCGGGGAGCCGCTGTCGCTTTTGCCGGCACATTTAAGCCAAAAAGTAAACCAATTGTTAGTTTTAATGGAATTTATTGGGTAAATATTTGCTAAGCACAAGAAATTGCTTGTGAACATTTGTCGTCGTTTGGTTGATTTAAGATTAAAAGTTTTTAAAGGCTTTCTGCTACGCCCACAAGGAAGAACAGCCACCACTGTCCGCACCAATCACCATCAACTGCCTCAATGGCCTTATTACTTTTAATTTATTTTGAATTTCCGCACTCCTCTCTGTCCAACAATTTAAAGACAAGCCATGCGCGCGTTTAGCCATGAAAACTTGTACATGATTGCTCCGAGTATATCCCCCACATAAATGTGCGAACTTTTCCAAAGTTTGCAAGGATACTCAACAGACTGTATGTACATCAATCAAGCCATGCTCCCCAATTTATTTGGTTCAGTTACAAAAAAGTCTCCGGATACGGTCGCACAGGAAAATAATTTGCACACAAATTCCTACTTATTATTTTTCCGAAATAAATCTTAGAAAGTTATATTTTCCCAGGACACTTTATTGCGTTTGATTGATATAATATTAAAGGGAAATTCTTGGACATGGCCTTTCAAATTTCAAACGTCAGAAATTAAAGTTAAACCCACAGACACCATCTATTAAGGGAAAAACAAAGCTCTTTAAGCAGAGTGTTTCTTTTTTTAAATATGTTTTGACATTACTACGTGTATATCTATCTTTTTTTCGACCTCAAAAGTTCATATGGACTATCTTTAAGTAGTAGTTGGTCTTTTCAGGTCATGCCCTTGAAACCAATTTGCTAAAAGCCTCTGATCATAATGCTTCCGATACACGTGCAAACATATCGTGTAACAAGCTTGTTCATTCTACTGTCTCAAGTGACTTGCGAAATAACAAGTACCGATAAGAGGCCACCGGCCGACTATAAAAGCCCCGTCTCTGTTCCAGTATTTTGTACAGTGGAGAAGTTTATACTCCCAGCGGTGAAAGCAAAGCTTATAAGAATTTGCAAAATGAGAGTTTGTAAGTTGGTTTTTGGTTTGGATTCCCATTGAAGGAACCATTTACTTATTCAAGTATTGCCATTTTCAGACAACTTGCTGCTGATTACATTTGTGGTCGCGTTGCAATTATATGCCGCGCCTACCGAAGCCCATCAGCCCGACTGTGCGGAGCAAGTGAACGGCATTTCTTTTCCGGACCCTAAGAGCTGCTCTCGCTTCTTTGTTTGCCTGCGTGGACGCGCGCTTAGCAGAGTCTGCGGTCATGGACTCTACTTCGATCCCAAGACTCAAATGTGCAATTTGCCACTCCTTGTGCAGTGCAAGGAAGGCGATCGCACTGGAGCTGTTGGATCCGGGGAACTTATTCATCATAGCCCCAATAACAACCAACCATGCACCACCACCCCTGCACCTTGTAATAAGGTGACGACAACAGAACCGTGTACAACAACAACAACAACAACATCTCCCTGCACCACATCACCAACAACCACTACCTGCACAACAACCACTTCTACAACCACAACAACAACGACGACTACCACCTCAACCACCACGACAACGACCACCACTACTACTACGACAACAACAACAACTACGACGAGTACCACAACCACAACCACCACGACAACGACCACCACTACTACTACGACAACAACAACAACAACTTGCTCAACTACGACGACTACCACAACAACCACCACGACAACGACCACCACTACTACTACGACAACAACAACAACTTGCTCAACTACGACGAGTACCACAACCACCACGACAACGACCACCACTACTACTACGACAACAACAACAACTTGCTCAACTACAACAACAACGACGACAACCACAACAACCACTACCACAACAACCACCACCACAACAACCACCACCACAACAACCACCACCACCACAACAACCACCACCACAACAACCACCACCACAACAACCACCACCACAACAACCACCACCACCACAACAACCACCACAACAACCACCACCACAACAACCACCACCACAACAACCACCACCACAACAACCACCACCACAACGACCACCACTACTACTACGACAACAACAACAACTTGCTCAACTACGACGAGTACCACAACCACCACGACAACGACCACCACTACTACTACGACAACAACAACAACTTGCTCAACTACAACAACAACGACGACAACCACAACAACCACTACCACAACAACCACCACCACAACAACCACCACCACAACAACCACTACCACAACAACCACTACCACAACAACCACCACTACTACTACGACAACAACAACAACTTGCTCAACTACGACGACTACCACAACAACCACCACCACAACTACCACCACGACAACGACCACTACTACTACTACGACAACCACAACAACTTGCTCAACTACAACAACAACTTGCTCAACTACAACAACAACGACGACAACCACAACAACCACTACCACAACAACCACTACCACAACAACCACCACTACTACTACGACAACAACAACAACTTGCTCAACTACAACAACAACTTGCTCAACTACGACGACTACCACAACAACCACCACGACAACGACCACCACGACAACGACCACTACTACTACTACGACAACAACAACAACTTGCTCAACTACGACGACTACCACATCAACCACCACGACAACAACCACCACCACAACAACCACTACTACTACAACGACAACAACAACAACTTGCTCAACTACAACAACAACTTGCTCAACTACAACAACAACGACGACAACCACAACAACCACTACCACAACAACCACCACTACTACTACGACAACAACAACAACTTGCTCAACTACAACAACAACTTGCTCAACTACGACGACTACCACAACAACCACCACCACAACTACCACCACTACTACTACGACAACAACAACAACTTGCTCAACTACAACAACAACGACGACAACCACAACAACCACTACCACAACAACCACTACCACAACAACCACTACCACAACAACCACTACCACAACAACCACTACCACAACAACCACCACCACAACAACCACCACCACAACAACCACCACCACCACAACAACCACCACAACAACCACCACCACAACAACCACCACCACAACAACCACCACCACAACAACCACCACCACAACAACCACCACTACTACAACGACAACAACTTGCACTCCAACTCCACCCCCCTGCACCACAACTCCCCCACCCTGCACCACAACTCCAACACCCTGCACCACAACTCCAACACCGTGCACCACAACTCCAACACCCTGCACCACAACTCCAACACCCTGCACCACAACTCCAACACCCTGCACCACAACTCCAACACCGTGCACCACAACTCCAGCTCCAGCTCCAGCTGCAGCTGAAGTAGAAGTTTTAAAAGTACTACCAGCAGAAACTTTGAGATCTATGCGCGACTGCCGGGATATCGACGATGGCACATTTTTGGCTGATGCCAGACATTGCCGTCGCTTCTACATCTGTCGCAACAACCGCGCAAGGCGTCAAGTTTGCCCCACTGGCCAATGGTTCGATCGTGAGGCTCTAGCTTGCCGTGACCGCCGTGAAGTCACTAACTGTGTAGCTCGGCGCAACTAAGCGATCCTTGATAACGACAATTCAACGGACCCGTAACCAGATACAACGCAGCTTCTCTATAAGGACCCAATGGGAATGATTTTTCGATAACCTGACGTATACGCCACTTTTTAGACTTAAGCATGGATGTGTAATAAAGCAACAAAATGTAAGAAAGCCGCATTTACGAATTTGTGTAAAGACTTCATTAGGCGTCTTCAGTGTTAGTGCGTTCGTTCAAACGTTACTGTAAGCCCGATATGTAGTTGCAGTGAAAAGTGAAGACCCAACTATGGATCGGGCCTCAATTCTATTGCTTTTCTCGGATATTGTACCTAATTATCTAATTTGTTCAAGGCATGTCGGTTCAGTTGACTGCGAAGAGCTGTTTTTCAATGGTTACAGACAAGTTGCTTGAACACGCTGCTCATTAGTTTTAAGCATTGATGCTTAACATGAACATGAAAATTGGCTCTGTAGAGGCAATTTGCTTGAGCAGGCAATAGATGTAGTCGATTGTGGGGGCGATATAAGCTAAGTTGATCGGCCATTGTGTGCACAATGCAAGGAAATTAGTGCGAGGGCTGCAATATCAGTTCAGGCCTCTTTGCGTTTTGATTCCCCATCAAGAAGACATTCAAACCATTTAGGGACTGCCGTAAAACTTTATCTGATTCCCAGTTCGGCATGTGTAATTAGGGAAATGAGCAACCGTGAGCATTACAGAATAAAATGAAACTAATTGTAGTTTAAAATCATGAAATCAAATATAAGTTAGAAGCGAAGAGCCAGTCTTCAAATGCGTGATATGTATAATTGATTGAGTTTTGAGGAAAACGCTTGCGTTCCTACAAAATATAGGAGCTCTGTGTTATTGAAATAATTCCACCAAGTATTACGCATTTGCCGCACAAACTCAAATAGCTAACCCACTCCACATCCTTCCGCATCTTCCATCTATTACTATTATGTCAACATCATGCCTTCCTCGCACACTTTATTCCCTACTTTTTTCAATTACTTTACAATCAACTTAAATTCCTTCGAACATCAATGGAGGTGCGCGCTCACGCCCATGTCCACGCCTATGCAGCCTCGGAGGGGGAAATACTGGAGTACACAGCATGGAACGCAACTTAACAATTTCATTGTGTATTGAAATGTTGTCTCCTGTGTCCGTGCCAGCCGCAGCTAAAGTCTCTGCCTTCCACGCCCTTCACGCCTTCTTCTGCTTCTTGCCACTGCACACCGCTGACGTGTCAAAGGCAAAGGTAACGGTAACGGCGCGGGCGAGGGCGAGGGCGGCTCTGGAGTCACACAGTGGGGTGTGCTAGCACAACTAATGATTGAAATAGGGGCAATATTCTCACTTCTGATGGCACACTATCCTTTATCGTACAAGCATACCCTAATATTATTACTTATATTAGGAACAAATTGTGAAAAATACATCTGAAGCATACAGAAAAATTAAATTTAATAATTTATGAGTAGCGCATTGGTGAATGAGCCTTATCTTCTATGTTGTACATACAATATAAACAAGTCAATGTAACTACAATAGAAACATTCAACAAATAAACTACTTGTAAATAAATTGTATTACAAACATCCAGCAGGCTTGCCCCTGACGACAAAACGAAGAAGAAAAATATTATTATATATATTTTAGAATGTAATATCTAAAATATTATTATGAAAGATTTTCGCCATGTGTAGTTGCATTTTTTCTATACCTATGCTACAACAAAAAAGAGGATTTATTTTCAAATCGATGGCGGATAGTTGATTCAGTTTCTGCATAGTCCACACCATTCCGAATATAAATTAATGCTTATCTGATCATTTCGAATTGAGGCAATGTTTTAACGGGGCTTTTCAATCAAACGACTCCACTGTTTGGCCATGGCATTGTTTCTGGCCGGTGTGGTGTTGCTGGCGCGGATTCGCGCTCCGTCGGTGATTATATCGAGGCGGGCTCAACTTGGCATTTGTTCCACTTATTCCACTTGAACGCTTCGTTAAGAGTAAAGTTTCGCTCTAATGTTTTTCAGCGGCTTTCTTTTTGTTGCTGCTGTTGTGGCAGCTATTGTTGCTGTTGTTTTTGTCGGCTAGTGTACTTCTTAACATCGGTCGCTCGTGTTGTTCTTGAAAAGTTCTTGGCAATTGTCGAGCTCGCTCGGTGGGCACAGCACGACTGCAGGACAGCAGGACACGTTCCACGTGAAGCCTATCAAGTGTAAGCACAGCGACAAGGACGACGACAACTTGGTCGCCGCACAATGCGCACGGAATGACAACTAGGTGGGGGGATGCCCAAAGACTGTGTGTGTGTGTGTGTGTGGGTGGCTCGCATGTACGTGTACGTGTTTCGCTTAACATTCTCCCAAGTCCGAGAAAACGTTGCTTAGATTAGCCAACATGACATTAAAGACCACCCACCGGCGACATAGTCGCGCCGGCAGCGCAGTCCGTGAAGGTTGCACAAAAGTGGTGGGCCACAGAAAAAAAGATATTCTTATTGAAATGAAAGTACAGTGATAGCTCGAAAATGTTCAAAAGATATCATTTTTGAAGAACAGTAGTAAAGCTATCCCTAAACAGTTCAGCAAAGGCTAAATAGTACAAAAAAAGAGCAGACGTTCAGTTAAGGTCCTTCCCATACTCGCATGTAAGAAAGGAATATTAATTATATAAAAACATTTTGCTTTAAAGAAAATATTACCGGTACATACTTGTAATCGAAACAAAATAATTTTATGTGGACATTTTTGTTAAAGTAAAAGAGAAAGGAGAAGACAAACAAATGGCAATTCTAGTTTAATTTACAACAGATAGTGTGGGACAAAACAGGGCAACTGGAAATAATCCCTAACAAACAAAGTATTACTGAATGAAAATGCGAAATGCAAAGCAGTCTGATATTTAGCAGCCTCTACTGTGAGAACTGAAAAGTTGTCCGCGTTAAACTGCTAACGGGGAGAAGCGGAAATCACCTGAAAGTCCCCATAGTTGTCGCTGTTCCCGTCATACTCGTAGTTGTACCGTCACTCGACAATTTTCCCCCAAAGTATCATGTCAATGGGGCCAGGAAGAGGGCATGACAGTCGCTACCAGAGGGAATGTAGACTGGAGACTGCGTTGGACCGCGTTGGACGCAACAAATGCCCATCAAGTTCGCGCGCTCAACTTTTATGACAGTTTTTGAAATGTGGTCGGTTGGTCCGGTTTGGGGTTTTAGTTTCTACACACCAGCACTTTATGTATGTTTGTATGTATGTATGTATGAAGGTACATATCTACTATATACTACTTGTATAGGCACACGGCTTGGCTTGTTTTTTAAATGTTTTATGACGCAAGCACATTATAGCCGCCAGCACCACCGCCACCACCGCCACCACCGTCGCAGTCGCAGTCACAGCCACGCTTTTTATTTGATATTCTCTTTTCTTTTTTGTCAACTGGCTGGCTGCCTGGCTGCCTGGCTGCCCTGCTGTATCTGACATGCTCATGTAATTTATGATTTATGCCTTGGCATGCCAGCAGTTGGCAACATAATTGCGTTGACGACGACCCGCCATTCGTCCCCCACCCCCCCTTCCCATCCCCGCGACCACTACACCCCCGATATCTGTCATTCGTTTCTATGCGCAAACAGTTGGCAAAATGTTTTGCATCGAAATTTGAATGCCTTTTGACATTCGCTGTATGTTTTGGCTTATTTATTCATAATTAAAACGTTGCGACTTGGCAACTTCGCAGTCTGAGCGACATGTGGTTCGTTGGCCGTGGTGGGGGCTTGGGGCGTTACTTTTGGGACTTGGCTGTTGGCCAACAAAATGATAAAAAGGGTACAAAAATAAACCAAAAGGGAAGAATCAGAAGCCGTCTGCCGTTATTATTCCAGTGAGCAGCTAATAGGCTTCCCTGCCTAACCCATTCACCATCTAGAGTATCGGGGGTAGAGGTTGCCGGGAATTTTGCACATTTTGTGAGATGCCTTGGCATGGAAACGAATATCAATATAATTAGCTAGCGGTCACAAAACATCTTAAGTAATTCAATTGGAGTTGTGGAATGTAAGCTCTAGACTCTGGAAGTCAGCTTACTTATTTTTTTCTCGAGAATATTTACACACATATAATACAACTATAACTAATATCTATACATTGCTTAAAATTCAATGGTCTGCCCATGTAGCTCTATACTGCGACGTAGAGTTCGTTTTGCTTGCCACATCTAGGGACTCAGCAATTTGTTGCACTTACTTTTGCTGGTGCCTTTTGTTTGTGTTGCGCCCTGTCCCCTTGTTGGCCCCTTGTTGTGAGATGTGGCCGAATTGTTCGCATCCCTGCGTCTTTGTCAAAGTCACTAATGAAGCAGAAGTTTGGTTTTAGGTTTACGTTGGAAACTCCTCAAGTGTAAGTAAATTAGAAAAGGGTTTCCCCATGACCCCACCCCAACCACTTTCCACCCCGCAGGCAACACCGCCCACACAATCCGCTGCTCCGCCCCTAATGCCCCCATCCTCAGCTACCAAGTCAAAAACTAGTCATATGCGAGGCGTGGCCAATGAAGCTTGAGCGTTTCTGATTGAAGGCGTTAAAATTCCTGTGTGTGTTGTCTCGAGGTGTGCGAGTGTGTGAGTGTACGTGTGTACGTGTGTGTGCTGTACGTTTGTATGGGTCGGGTCGTTAATGTTTATGCTTTGGTTTTCCGGCGCTTAGTTTGTTGTTTTTTAATAAAGCACTACCTAGGATTGGCCCAACCAAGAGTGTATTGGGCCCGACAGTGATCGACTTCGCAATGATCTGCAATCTCATGGTATTTCTCTGCAACTGCCACGAGTGTTTGTAAATGATGAGATAATACGAAACGATCTGTTGGATATTTACAGTAGCTAATAATAATTACGTGCCAATTATTACAAAATATTGCTTCAATAAGAGGTAAAATTTCTAACAGTCGATAACACTATCAAGCTCTTTAAAATCGACAGAATGAGATATTGATTGAAGGAACGATTCTCACTGCAATCGAAACACCCTAACACTAAGTGGACGATATTTATTGACCTTTAGGGTATTCCAGGAAAGGATAGTGTAATGAAAATCAACAAACGAGCAGGACGCTGAAAAGCAATAAATATGCAAAGGTCTGAGACAAACCAACAAGCCAAA